TTCTGAGTAAGAATTAGTGACTTTCAATGATACTACAGAAGCAGTTCAGAAATAAAAATTTGAGTAACAAAGATCTTTGGGCAAAAAGATCTACCAACTAGACCACTGGGATCACTAGAGCTGCACTAGATATATATTTATTGATTACTTCAGTATAGTGTATCTAGTAGAAGATTCTAGAATAAGACTCCAGAGGAAAAGAACTTGCATTACGAAAGCTTGTACCAAAGATCAGAAGATCTTCAGATCTAAGATTGGGACTCTTGGGTTTGAACAGACCAATTCTCTCAGGCCATCTGGATTGGAAGACCAAAAACCAAAGCATGGAGTACGAATATAGGTACTGGGGTTGTGAACCTTACAAGAGGTGAAAAGTAAGTAATAGAAAGGCTAATTAGAAAGGTTGTGCTTGAGATATAGATTGTATTATAATAGCACCCCAAAAGGTGGCATGAGATATGAATATGGTGCAGGACATCTAGTCACATCACAAAATAATTGCTTACAGTAAAAGTTTTATATCTTTTTAAAAAATCATTTTTTTAAAGAAAAACTTTCTATTGTCATGTTTTTTGAGACCTATAGAATAAAATTATAGAGAGTTTTTTTAAAAAAACCTTCTTATTAAAAAGTTATTTTAATTTAAAAATTCTTTAATTTTATAGTAAAATTAAAAAATTCAGCACTTTGTTTTATTAATAAGTGCCAAAATTTCAGCACTTTGTTTTATTAATTAGCGCCAAAATTTCAGCATTTGTATTATATATTTTAAATTTTAATTTAATAAATTTTTTTTTTCTCTTTTTTTTTTTTTTATTCACACTCTTTTTAAAATTTCAGCGCTATATATATAATTTTCTATATAATTTTTAAAATTCAGCACCATTTATATATAATTTAAAATTCAGCGCTATGATGTCTTTAGATGTCCCGCACCATACAATAGCAATAGACAATATGTACTAATTGGAAAAAATGTTACTGAATGAGCATGCACCGTGTGTAAGACATGATATGTAGCATTAGGTTTACCTTAAGGATCAGCTGAAAGAAGTTTTAAAGTGAGTGCTAAAAGCTAGAGGTGTCGCAAAATCTATATATAAAATAGTAAGTTATACCCAAATTAGGTATAAGAGCTTTGGGTTATGACTAGAAAGTTTAAATAAATAACTTTGTAGTTGAGTTGCAAGTATAGCAAATAGTGTGAAACCTTTAGGCAAACTATTTAAATTAGATATCAAAAATGTATATATAGCTAGTTGTACTTTTATCATAACTGTAATAAGTTTTGAATATCTAATAAAACAGTTCTTGGTCAAAGAGAACATCTTAACAGTAAAAAAAAATTGTATTATTTAAATATAATAATTTTTAAATAAATTTAATTTTTTTATTGATAAAAAAAATATTATAATATTTAATATATAACAATAAATATAATTGTATGAATTCTTTATCAAATTACAATTTGATTAAAAATAAATCTGAAAATATATATCATTATTGATTATTGTAAAAAGTAAATAAAATACAATACAATAGAATAAATAATATATTACTTTTTCTAATAGCTTATAATTATAATTATAGCATACTAAAATTATATACAATAATAACTATTAAAATATAAATTTGTATAATATATCTTAATAACTTCTAAAATAAATATTAAAAACCTTCAATATATTAATGATTTCTAAAAAAATAGTATCAAAAAGCTTAAACTTAATTAAAAAATATTAATAATTTCTAACTAAGTAAATATAAATCAGAAAATATAGTCTACAATAAATCTAAATCAAAATAAAATTCTAATATTACTATATTAGAAAATATTTTATATTATATATAAAAATAAAAAAAAAGTATATTTGCTATATATGAAAGTAAAGACTTGTTATTAATTATTTCTAATTAAAAGTAAATATAAATCAATATAATAAATCTTAGATTGCTTTTTACTAAATAAAATTACTATATTAGGATATATTTTGTATTATATATAGAAACAAAAAAATATATATTTATTATATAAATATAAAGACATACTAATTATTTTTAATTAAGATTAAAAAAAATATAATATAGCAAATATTTTTTTTTTTTTTTTTTTTTTTTTTTAAACCAATATCACGGGTGCTAATACTTTATTGTGTTTTTATATGTTTATTTACAAACATTTTTTGGTACATTGATGAGCGTATAACTAGCCACACATACAACTTTTGGTTGCCTATTTAAGTAGTCTGCTCGAAGGTTCTACACTAGCTGCCATACCTGCAACCTGCTAAGAGATTGCCTATTTAAACCCTCTGATCTTCTGTACCCACTCCACAATTAGCCTTATAAGTTCTTGTATACCAAGGTGCCATCTAACTTGACATTTGGTTTTCCTTTCTGTGCTAGGAACCCAGACCATACCCAATTTAATGAGTACTGTTACCTAGTAGCAAGGCTCAGGGTGCTTCCTGTTAACAACCTACTTACTCTATGGTCCTATCAACAAGGCTATGCCCTTGCAAAGTTCACCCAAACCTGGTACCCACTTTACAGCATATTCCCAGTACTTCAGTTCTCTTCCACTTTAGTTCTAGACTACTAATCCAGATAGCTTGGAAGGACTGTAACCTGTCCTTGGTTCATTGGCTCTACCATGACCTTTTCCTCCGGTTAACTCGGTAGCCTGGTTGGTGAATCGGCTTTACCACAAATCGATCATGCCCTGTCCAGTTTTTTCACTTCGGTTTCCTTTTCCCAGGTCTAGCCTTTATAGTAGTACTATCAAAGATTTGTGCTACCTCTTCACTCAGGTCTTCCCAAATAGGCTCCTGTTCTCCCAGTCTTACGGATTTACATGATCTAGAAACTTATTGAGTGTTTGTACCACCCATTGCCAGTTTGTATTCCTTCATATAACCCAAGGTTGCACAGATACCCCAGACCTGCCAGTTATGCTGGTGTGACCACAGTTACAGGTATCCTATCCCAACTAATCGACAGAAGACGGTTGCTGTAACACAGGTAATTATTCAAATTTTTCACCATCAGTGGGTTTCGAACTCTTAACTTGCCACTTGGTGAGGGTGACAACCTAACCACTACACTAAATCACCACACCTCTTAATATAGCAAATATTAAATTACTTTTTACTAAATAAATCTTAGTATTACTATGTTAAAACATTTTATATTATATATATATAAAAACAAGTATACTTGCTATATATAAAAGTAAAAACTTCTAGATACTAATTAATTTGAAAAATAATTCTCATTATTAATATATATTTAAATTAGAATGATAAAAACCTTAAATAAATAGATAAACAATCTTTTACTTAGCTAGTTTTAGGCATATTAAATTAAATATGATAAACAATCTATAAAACAAAGAAATTTTCAACAATGCTAAATAAAAACTATTATTAGTACAATAACATGTTTCTATATTAGAAGAATAAAAAGTTTAAAAGTATCTTTTTTTCAGTATATCTAGTATAAATTAAATTAAATAATTGAGTTGATTTTTTTTCTATAAAATTCTTGTTTTAACTTTTTTAACAATTAGGATAATTAAAATTTTATGTTGGCAATCTGGCATTAACAATAAAATAATTCTATATACAAATTAATGATATAAATTTTTATTTTATTATATTAATACCAAGACTACCAGAATTTCTATATAACAGTATCTATTTTTTTAGAGTTAATAATATTAATATATTCATATCTTCTTATATTAAAATGCCACCAAAACATAGTAAATCTTATTCAAAAGTACCGTAAATGGCCAGATACAAGATCCCCCTAGATAGTAGACCCACTATGTACTATACCTGGGTCTACAATATAGGATAAAGTTTTGGTAAAATGTAAAAGACCCGGGGGTATACTAATAGGAAAACCCTATGAAAATACTATTAAAATAGAAGAAACCTTCCAATTATCAGACCCACACCCATACAAGAGACCCGCAGGTCTAACTATAGGTTTTAAAATTGGTGAAATGTAACAGACCCAGGTCTTGTATCCGGCAATTTACGGTATCTAATTCTTCTTCTTTTTCTAAAAATAAAAAAATGTATATTATATATTATTAGAATATAGTATCTAATATTTTCACTCATATAATTTATAGTTTTTTTCTAGTAAAAGCTGATGAGACTAGTACTAGATTTTTAGCCTTTATAAAATTGTCTCCTTTTCAAAACACTATAAACAAAGCCTATTAAGATAAATATATTAAATAGTATTTACTTAGTATTAAAAGTATTTTTAGACCTGCTTTTAAAATAAATAAAACTGATAAAAAGCCAGATAGCATAAAAAGTGGTGACCAATACTAGTTATTCAGAAATGAAGAGTTGGGGCTTAAACAAACTAAAATATTTGATGAATATCTTGTTAAATGTGAAAAATAGCTGTTCTAAATACAGTATACAATGTTTTATATTCATGTTATTTAATTTTTTGGTTTATTATAAATATTCTTAAATAAAGTAAAAAATTCGTTATTATCTTTTATGTACAACGTAAAAGATCTATCACATGACTTTTAAGGCTTGACACTAATTAAAAGACAGTCGATTTTCATTAGTAAAATTAAAATTCTAACGTTATTACTTTGAAAAGATAACTTCTGTTAAACGTCTTGTTGTTATAGAATTAAAGAACATTAAATATTCCAAGAGAAATTAAAGGCGAAGTAAAGTCTTTTTTTAATAGTCGTTTGATATAGAGTGCAGATTAATACTGTACTATGTTTGTAAATTGAATGATAGGCCACACCCCAAAAAAAAGCCGTCTCCATTAAAATACATCAATGCACAAATAAACAGGTTCCGGTTCGGTTTCGAGTTTGGTGATACGGTTTTGGATTTAGGTTTCAAATTTTTGATTCGAGCGAGACCTGCCATTCATTAGCCAATCATACGAATGTCTTCCCATCTACATATAACGAAAAATTTTAACATTAACACTAAAAAGCATATCAAATTATGTTTCGATCTGCCTTACAAAGAGTAGTTTTACAAACCGCCCCTAAAAACTCATTAACGGCGGTACTAAACTAATTTTTCCTATAAACGTTTTGTCATACAAAGCTTTAGAATTTAATTTCTCGCATTCATGATTTCTTAGCTTCGTTCTAGTTTTTTCGCTCGTGGTTATGCAAGCGCTCAAGATATATCTACACTTCTTTTGGTCGAGCGTAGTGGTAAATCAATCGCTTCCTCTACCTTTAATTCTCTCACTGCTGCTACTAAATTAGGCGGTGAGGTAACCGCCCTTGTGGCAGGTGAAGAGCCAGACACTGTCGCTTCTGAAATTTCAAAGATCACCGGTATATCCAAGGTACTCGTAGCCAAACACAAACTTTACGAGCATGGTCTTGCGGAAGTATATGCTCCGCTACTGGTTACTACTCAGAAAAAGTTTAATTTTACTCATTTGGTAGCTCCTCATTCAGCATTTGGCAAAAATATTATGCCTCGTGTCGCTGCTTTACTAGACGTTGCACAAATTGCTGATATAATTGATATTGAATCTCCTGACACTTTCATTAGGCCGATTTATGCTGGTATAAAATGTCTTAATTAACAAGATCAAGTTAAGAAGATCAATGTTTAATTTATAGCAAAAAAAAAAACTTTTTATTGTTAATAGGAAATGCTATCTCTAAAGTAAAGTCAAAAGATTCTCCAAAAATTATTACTGTCAGGGGAACCGCGTTTCCTCCAACCACTACTGATGGTAATAATGTTGCTATTGAAGCAGCACCAGATGCTGAAAAACCTACCATTACTGAATGGATCAGCGAAGATCTTCAAAAAGGTGATCGACCTGAACTTGGAAGTGCAACAAAAGTTGTGTCTGGGGGTAGAGCATTGAAAAACCGGGAGAATTTCGACAAATTAATTTATGGTCTTGCTGATGCACTTGGAGCTGCTGGTAACCTTTTATTTCTTTTTTGTTTTTTTATCTTTTTTTTTTTTTTTTTTTTACTTATAGTATATAATTACTGACTTCTTTCTTTAGTTGGTGGATCAAGAGCTGCGGTTGATTCAGGTTATTGCGATAATGCTTTACAGGTATTTAATACTTGTTTGATAATTATCTGGAATTATGATAATTTCATTAATAAAGATTACGCGCATTAGGTTGGACAAACAGGAAAAGTTGTCGCTCCAGGTATGCTGTTTCCATTCGTTTGTTTAGTTGAAAATTTATTAATACAACAAAATATTCATTATATTTTATTTATCAGAGTTATATGTGGCTGTCGGTATTAGCGGTGCAATCCAACATATAGCAGGAATGAAAGATAGTAAAACGATAGTGGCAATAAATACCGATCCTGAAGCACCAATATTTCAGGTATCTGTTCAAATGTCAAATATACAAACTTTACATTGAATAATATTATTAATTTATCTTGCTTTTAAAGCTTGCAGATTACGGACTTGTTACTGATTTATTCAAAGCAGTTCCGGAGCTAACAGAGAAATTGAAAAACTAAATGTAATATTTACTATAAAGCTGTTTTTCAGCACATAATTGTTAATACATAAAAAACTTTATTGTACATGACTGTAAAGGTTGCTCATATCTGATATGGACAGATATTGGATTTTACCAGTTCATATTTTGTACTTAAATGGTTTATGTGACTTTCATAATATTCATGTGCAATTTGGAAATAATAAAAAATATATAGATCTTTATTATTTAAGCCCAATTTATATTTACACGAAGAATTTACTCTCCATTTAAATTCATCCTACTAAAACTTCCATTAGCATCATGAAGATTTACTAAACCGCTATTACTTTTGATTTGCCCTCTTGATGTTGGCGTATAACCATTCCCCCCTACTCCTCCATTACTGGATGAACCAGTTGCATATGAGGAATAAGATGGTGAACCATTAGCTGATGGTGATGAAAGTCCAGAGACAATAGGAGGACTGCCGACTAAGCTTGGGGAAACTGCTCGTCGTTTTGGATTGAAATATGGTTCAAATCGATCATCTGATGCTATTTTTGTTAAATAAATTATAATAATCAAATAAATTAGATAATGAATGCTAGACATATATTTATTTATTACCTTTTCGTTTTATACGGCTACAAGACGGCCATGGACCAACAGAGGATGTAGGTGAAGGCGTATCTTGACGAAACTTTATTCAATACAAAAGATATTATAAATTATTGTAAGTTTACCAAAGAATAAAATGCAACTCATTTACATACTGCAAGTTCATTTTCTGGATTTAATCTTGAAGCAGTATATGGCGGCGGTGAAGGTTGAATATCACGGAATTTTATCCAATTATTTAGGAATTCCTATTTCAAAAATAAATTAAACCTATTACTTTTTATTTTTATTATTATTCAAATTTATGTGAACAATTAAACCAACCTCTGATAACTTTCCAGTATCCATAGTATTATCAGATTCGTTTTTAAGAACTTTGGTAGTCTTATATTCTTGCTTAATTTCAGCTTCAATTGGACGTGCTTCTTCCTGAAGTTCATTAGCAACTCGTTGAAAAGATTTAGTTTTGGGCTATAAAATAAGTACATTAGTTTCTAATTTTTGAAACTTGAAAATATTTATATAATATGTGAATTAAATTAATATAAAACGTACCAAAAGAGATGCTCTTCTTGCCCTAACGGCCCGATGCATTGGTGACGGTTTATCAATTTTCCCATCAGGGGAGTAATTCAGTGAACCAGTTTCAATACTTATATCTAAACTCATTCTCCTCATACGTTGTGGATGATGAGATATTAGTGATGATACACCAGTTCTCGCAGTTGGTGCGGAATAAAAACTTGAAGGATAAGGTGGTGGAGTAGTTGGTGTGCTTGGTCTGGATAAGGTTAATGGTTTTTGCGAAAATGTAAAAGGATAAGAAGTTGATTTACTCTCATCCTCATTACCAGATTCTGTTCCACTAGAAGGTGTAGGTGTATCTAATTGCATTGACATACTAGATACATTACTATCACGTCGTTGATGACCAGGTACTACATCATGCAGTTGTATAGACATTGTTGAAACATTGCTATCTCTTCGTCGATGGCCAGAACCATCATCAAGACTATCGGATTGATATGGAGGTGAAGAGAAATTACTACCATTATGTGACATTAATAATTGTGAAAAATTGGTATTTAAAGAAGGAGGTATTGGACGAGATATTTTATGAAGAAATTGTTGTGAATGTTCTATTTGTTCAGAGCCACCACCTGAAGGGGATGAGGTACCACTTTCAGAAGTAACACCCCCATTTCCTTGAAGAGCAAAAAGTCTTCCCAAATCACTTTGCGAAGCAAATTTTAAATTTGAAGTGGTTAACGGTGAACTTACAGGACTTACAGGAGAAGGAGAAGGAGGCTTAATTGCTATAGAGTCCAATGAAAATTTAAACCCACTTTGTTCGTTACTATTATTAATGTCCAAAATTTCATTACAAGAATTTTCTGTATGGTCACACATTGTAAAAAAAAAATTATTAAAAGAGATCACAGTATTTACAAAATTTTGAAAATTTACAGGTTATCTGTTATATACAAAAAATTTCCCATTCCGATAAGGATACTATGCAGGGTGCCTTAATTTAATTTGTGTACGTATAAAAATGGTGTTAATTTTGACTTCTTGGTAAGAGGTACGTACGTACGCGCGCGGCGGAAATATATCACGGGATTACCCGATATTTACAGTATATAACAGTATATTAAACTTTAGAATGTATCTGGTGGTGCAAACGGCTTGAGCCGATCCGTGAGCCAAACAGCTAAGCCGAGCCGTTTAACAGTTCGGCTACAGGTTACTAATAAAGATAGGCTCTAAATGGCTCGGACCAGGATCTTGAATCCGAATTTATGGTCATGAGCTAATAGAGCTCTGCGATAACATAAATCTGATTTTATCGCGATAGCATAAAGCGTATTTGCATATCAGGGCTAATTTCGCATAATTAATAGAGCATAATCGTGCATAAAATGGCAATATAGAAGAATAGTTCAAAAACGGACAAGTGAAAAAATAATATTAGTGGCTTACATCAATACACATTAAAAAACTTTAAACTAAAAAATATAGGATTTAATAGGCTTTTTTTTTAATATATATATATATATATATATAATATATTTATTCAATGCTTTATTATGATTAGCCTACAAAATTAATCAATGATAAAATGATAAATTTCATAAGCTAAACATAGATAAAACCGTTAATGCATGCAAAGCATGCATTTCCGAAATAGTTTACCAAAAAATTAATTTAACCCCAATTATAAGCCTCGAACTTGATTAATAACGTCATAATTTTCCTAGATTACTTCATATATATATATATATATATTTTTTTTCTTTGATTAGTTAATACTCAGGAAAGAATTAGCGTTTGTTGAATAATAATAAAATTGACGACTATAAATTTTGTTCACATGTAAAGTGGCACATATTTCTACCTGTGGTTGCATATTTCTACCAGATTCAAATTTTAAAGTCATGTAAAAATGCGAGTAAAATTTTCCTCGGAATTGATATACCCCTGTAAATTAATTTTTTCGACAGATCATAGAATTCAAATAAAAAAAGTTGACGTTGACCAGGTGATTGTCGAGATATCTTCACTCAAATTTTAAATCTATTAAAATAGAAGCATTGTCTCAACAACCATTAGGCCAAATTCATAGAAATTTTTCTTATTGAATTTACGAATCTGTAGAAAAAAGTTTTTTGATTTTGACCAGAGGGTTGTCGAAATATCTTCGTTCAAAGTTTGAAAAATTTAAAATATCTATCAAAGAATCCGCTTCTTAACTTTCCAAACTTTGAGGGAAAATATCTCGGCAACAACCAGGCCAAATTAGATCTCTTTTGGTATAGATTTAGTGCTCGGCACAATCAAACAAAAATTTGACAGTCAAATACTTGTTAATACTTGTGATTAAGTCGGACATCAAATGATTGCAGATTAACCAATAGTATATATTTAGCTTTGGTTAATCTGCAATCGTTTGACATCCGATTTAAACATAAGTATTAACAAATATTTGACTGTCAAATTTTTGTTTGATTGTGCCGAGCACTAGTATAGATGACCCACTCTAATTTTATTACAGCTGTTTTCATAAATTCTGGAACAACTTAAAAAATTGCCGATGACCTAATCGATAAGTAACCGAGTCGGAATCAATAAGTAACCGACTTCGACAAACTCAGAAACTTATCGATTCGGCCATCGGCATTTTTTCAGTTGTTCAAGAATTTATGAAAACAGCTGTAATAATAACACCTATACTAAAAGAGATCCGGCCAATTTCAATAAACTTTTTTCATTTAAAAAAATTTTACAATCTGAGAATTCAAAATAAAAAAGTTCACCAAATTTGACTAAATGGTTGTCGAGATATCTTCACTTAAAGTTGAAAAAGTTGGACACCACTTTTATTTGATAGACGCTTTGAGTTTTTTCAAACTTGAGCGAAAATATCTCGACAACTGTCCGGTCAAACTCAAAAAAACTTTTTTTTATTTGAATTCTACAGATTCTTAGAATTCGAATAAAACTTAATTTACGGGGGGAGTATTAATATCAATTCTCTTTATTTACCCAAAGTAAAATTTTATCCTCAAAATTTGATCAATAAATTTGCAATAGTGCAAGTAGGACTCCGCGTGGGCGGGTAGTAACAGGAGTGATTAACTATTAACTTTTAAGCCCTTACTCTTATCTTAGGGCCAAACTCGATATTTTAGCCCGGTAGGTCTATAGATAGACTACCCACGAGTCTAAATACAGAAATAATGATCATGTCATTTATACCGCCAATCATAGTAAAACGTATATTCTGCATTCCGCACCGTGGGAATTTAACAATTAAAGTACAGAAGTATTTAATCAATGACGTAATGTCTAAACTTCAGTTAACCGCTTTATATTGTGCTTCTCGTTATATATGAAATAAAAAAAAAATGGAAAAATATACCGAATACAAGTATATGAGTGGTTTCGACAATCACTTTTCTTCTGAAGCATTACCTGACGCTTTACCTAAAAGTATAACTACTTTAATAAGTTTTCCTGATCCGCATTATAATTGACCTTACTCTACAATTAATACATTTATTAAAGGGTCATGCCGCACGAACGTGCAAAACTAATTTCTGCTTTTTATTTATAGATCAAAATACACCACAAAAATGTCCCTACGGTCTTTATGCTGAGCAACTTTCAGGTTCTGCCTTTACTGTAGATAGGAAACATAATCAACGAAGGTATTTATTTGCATTCTCGAGCATTTTATTCATTTTCTTGAATACTTTCTTATTCTATCCATTTTATAGCTGGCTTTACCGAATTCGTCCTTCTGTTTCTCATAAACCATTCACAAAAGTCGCCGAAACAACTGGCCTTGTGAGCCATTTCAGTGATGCTAATTCTGTTAGTTATATTCCGAATCAAATTCGTTGGAGTCCATTCAAATTATTTTCGACAGAGAAAGCAGATTCATCGCAAAACATAAATTTCATTGATGGTTTGCATACTCTAGCTGGTGCTGGCGATCCATCTGTCAAAAATGGTTTAGCCATCCACATATATAATGCAAATCAAGATATGGTTAATACTGCATTTTACAACTCTGATGGTGACTTTTTGATAGGTAATCGATGATTCCTTTGTGTCTTCAAATACATTTAAATGATTTATTAATTATATATTTGATTTTATAGTTCCGCAGCATGGTCGACTTGATATTATCACTGAATTTGGTCGCATAATGGTTTCTCCTTGTGAAATCGTTGTTATTCCACGTGGTATTAAATTTGCTATAAAACTTCCTGACGGTCCAAGGTATCTTCAAAGTTTTCAATATTTATTACATACGCGGTATTACAATGCTTCATTAAACTATCCTTTAATTCAATCTAGTCGCGGTTATGTTTTAGAAATTTTTGTAGGTCATTTCGAATTACCTGAACTAGGCGCGATAGGTACATATTAGTGCTCGGCACAATCAAACAAAAATTTGACAGTCAAATACTTGTTAATACTTGTGATTAAGTCGGACATCAAATGATTGCAGATTAACCAATAGTATATATTTAGCTTTGGTTAATCTGCAATCGTTTGACATCCGATTTAAACATAAGTATTAACAAATATTTGACTGTCAAATTCTTGTTTGATTGTGCCGAGCACTAGTACATATTCAATATTTTGATCTCTTTTTTTATATTTCCTATATATATCTAATATATATATGTATATGATAGGTGCAAATGGCCTTGCTAATCCACGTGATTTCTTGACACCCACGGCCTTTTATGAAGAAAAATCAAATTGTGATTATACCATTGTGAATAAATATGTCGGCCAATTATTTTCTGCGAAACAAGTATTTGCAAATTTTACGATATAATATGGTTAATATACAATAAAAATGCATTAATATTCAATTCGTTAAACTACAGGATCATTCACCGTTTGATGTTGTAGCTTGGCATGGAAATTATGTCCCATATAAATATGATCTTAACAACTTTAATGTTGTAGGATCCATTTCTTATGATCATTTGGTAGGATCATTTAATCGATGTTTTTTTTTTTATGTATAGGTGCTCAATTGACTATTGTTTGTTTTATTTAAAAAGGATCCGTCCATATTTACCGTGCTTACTTGTAAATCCGCGTTTCCTGGGACCGCTATTGCGGATTTTGTGCTCTTTCCTCCTAGATGGGCAGTCCAAGAACATACTGTATATATATTGATTTATTTAACTAGTTTGACCCTAAATTTATACAAAAATCTTTTTAATTAAATAATTTTTATGTCAAAGTTTCGTCCTCCTTATTACCATCGGAATTGCATGTCAGAATTTATGGGACTAATTAAGGGTAAGTATGATGCTAAAGCGGAAGGATTTCTTCCTGGTGGTGCAAGGTATATACTATTTATAAGTTTTATCTCTTTATATATTGTTATATCTATTTCTATATGATTATAAATCCCCGTTGCCTTTGGTATATTTATTAGTCTCCACAGCTGTATGACACCGCATGGTCCAGATACTACCACATTTGAGAAAGCATCTAATGAAGAATTAAAGCCGGTACGAGTAGCCGATGGCTCAATGGGTATATAATTTTTTTATTAATGAAATTTTGATTTGTTGATACAATCGATATTCATCAAAACAAAAAAATAATGCTATTTGTCCTATCAAATTTAGCTTTCATGTTTGAATCCAGTCTGATGCTTGGTATAACTAAATGGGGTCTATCATGTTCAGAAATTCAAGAAAATTATAATGCAGTATGGCAAGATTTGAAATGCCATTTTGATCCAAATAATCGCCCAGGAAATTAACAAAAGAATCTTGATTTATCAGTTATACTCGAACATTGTATGATTTTCTGCTGATTATATCTAGAAGCCTTAGGATATAAGATTAGTGAAATTGTAATTTATGTATATTTTAAAATAAATTTTCGTTATCGACGTTAAAAAAAAAAAAGAAAAAAAAAAGGCGAAAGATTATACAAATAAATAAAGTAAAGGATACATCTTATGAATTACTTCCAGATTTCACATATAAATCAATTTTCTTTTAAAACTCACCTTAAAAGACTATCTATTTTCGATTATCCTCAACAATACCACGCTTTTTACGTAATTTTCTGACCAACCTTGAAAACTTTAAAACACTGCCACTGCGAATGCCTAATTCTTGTATTGGAAGTTTATCTTGTAATAAACGTTGACTTTCAAATGTTAAACAATAAGATTTCCAAATGTATTTCCTAAACATTAGTCAAAGATAAATTGAAAGTAAATATATATTACTACATTCATGAAGGATGAAAATTCAATAAATACTAACCAACTAATCTTTTTATTAGGTCTAAGACCCTTATTACTTTCTTTTTGTAATTTTTCGACTTTTAGTTGAATTAAATTTTTTATATCTAAGATAGTAGAATTTTGTCGTACGACTAAGACTAACCGACAAAATTTGATTAGATTATTACTACTGAATAAAAAAAAACCGATTTTTATTATTATAATTATTATTAGGCAGTGACAGATATTTGTAAATTGGACTCATGATCCAATATCATGATCATGCTTCACGAGTCAATTGTTTAATCGTGATTATAAATGTTTGTTGATAATACGTAAGGATGGAAATGAAGCATAGTAAAGGAATGTTACTAACATCTTTCACTGCCCTTATTATAACTTACTCAGCGGTTCTAATCCATCTCGTTCAATCTTGATTTCAAAAGCTGTACCAGTTTCCAACGAAATCAGAATATCAACTTCTTCTATACTTATACTACCATTATTATTTAATTTTGTTAGATCTGACAATAATGGGTCTTTTAACAACTGTTTCAACATTTTTTGTGTATTTGAAAGGTTTGCTGTGTTATCTTTGTCAAGTTTTGTTAATTCATTAGTACTGTTGATTGATGATAATGCAAGTGTAGACGATATAAATGATGTATTTTGGACTGAATTAGACTCGTCGGACGCGACATTTGGTGTAGTTTGTGGTAGGGGAGGCAGAGGAGGAGGAGGAGGAGTAGGGGGAGGAGGAGGTTGTGGTGGAGACGAATTGTCCATGTTGAAATTAGATATAAAATAAAATTGCATTTTATATATCGATATATATATTATCAAATTAAGTCTTATGATCACTGTCCACCAGTAGTACATCGTACATCTTCCCCAGGATCGCCGTCAAAATTTCTCTGTCACGTGATAGTGTTTACAGCGCACTAAAAATCTTTAGACTCGTATAAATTAGGGCTAGGGCCTACAACAAGGTTAGGGTTATAAGGTTTTATAGTAAAATTGTTCAAAAAAATTTTTTTGTTAGAGCACGAAAGGTAGTTTCTTATATAAATTTTAGAGATATAAGTGATTTTTGATCTTCCTAATCGTGTTACGTTACATTAAAACGAGACTTGCTATTGGATATCCGTCACGTGACAGTGAAATTTTGATGGTGATACTGAGGTAGTTCCACCAGTACAAAATTTGCTAGCATGATGGAAATTTGGTTTAATTGGCCAAAAAAATAATCAATATTTTATACTATAAACTAGAAATGTAGATGTGGGCGGCTTCGCCGCCCGATTATGGTATATAGTTCAGATTTTGTTGTGTTACGTAGTGATGTTTTTATTTTTGTAGGATAGGTAATTTATTAGAGTTTTTTTTTATTTATAAATAAAAATATATAGGTTTTTATATAAATAATTATATTGTGTATGTGTTACATGTGTGTTACGGAATTATTGGTTAATGAGTGTTACATTGTTTTTTTTTAGAATGGTTTGTTTAACGGTAAGGGTTCTTTGGCTTTTAATTCTAATCGTTCATATTCGTTGATCATAGATGGATCTGTTATAAATGCAGTTTTATTTAATGACTGTATTTTTACATGTTCCCATTTGGTGCAACGACTTAGTGCTACGTAAGCTTGACCGGGTGCGAAGATTTGATCGTCTAAAGCTAGTGATATATCGGGGAGTGTAAGTCCTTGTGTTTTGTGAACTGTTAGTGCGAATGCGTTTTGTATTGGGTATTGGGTACGGCTAGCGGGTATATTGTTTATATAGAAATTGCTTGTATACTTTGAAAATGAGACATTTATGATGGCTCCTCTGACACAGAAGCTAACGTAAATGAGCTCAAGGTCTAGGTCAAGATCTGTGACGATACCTATAGTACCGTTTGCTATTCTGTGTTCATGTTGTGAGTTATTGAGAAACATAACTCTTGCTCCGGGCTGAATTCTAATTGTTTCTGGTAAGTTTGTTTTGTTTTTGAATTCATGAAGTCTTGAATCATCATTGCAAATTTGATTGTCAATGATGTCGAGGCAGTTGGAGATTATAAATTTGTTTTCTTGAGTGGGGATCATAGTACAAATTAATCTATTGATTAAATCGGCATTTTCTCTGTAACCTACTATGTGTGTTGTGTTGAGGATGGTGTTTAGGTTTGTTGATTGGTTAGTTTCATTTTTTTTTTCGGATAATAGGTTCCATGTTTTGTCATCAATTTTGCCCATTCGAATTTTTTGTAGGATGTTGAAGAATTCTTTGTCTTGATTTTGTCTTTGAGGTTCGCGAAGAAATAATGGATAAAAAAGTTTCCATATTGGAGATTGGTAGACGGGTGAACCTGAAACTGGGGGTAATTGGGCTAGATCACCAACTACAATAACATTAATACCCCCGAATGGGTTATTATTTTTGTGTAGTGATTCGAAAAGCTCCGATATATATGTTAGAAGTTGACCTGATACCATGGAAATTTCTTCTATAATGAGTGTGTCGATTTGACAAAGAAAATTGTTTAGCTCGTGATCATGAAATGCCAGGGTACGAAATCCTCGTTCATCGGCAATGATTCGTAGTGCAGAGTGGATTGTTGATCCACCAACGTTTTGGGCTGCGATGCCGGTTGGAGCTATTAGTAAACAGTGTTTACCCATCATTTGAAGGTCTTCGAGTAATAGATGTATCATGTAAGATTTACCAGTACCTGCTGGACCTGTTATAAAGAAAAAAGGATAATGTGATGCATCTCGTGGTCCAAGGTAATTTATTATTGTTTGTCGGCAATAATATTGACTTTGTGGTAAGTTTATCATTGGGTTGATGGTTGCAAGTTGTGGTAGTATTTTTATTGAGTTTAGTTGTATTTTAATTATTTCAATAATGTCTGTTGTTAGGATTGGATGTAATAATACGGTTATGGTTTCAATAAGTGAGGTGAATTGATTTAAAACATGTGTGGTTTGTTGTAATGAAAATTCGTGGTTTTGTATATGAGATAACTGGTATAGTTCAGGGAATCGAGATATAAAGTGATCTCTGTAGGTTTGGTGATTGTTAAGCATTTCACTTTCAGATCGACATGGAAATTTTAGCAGAAGTTGTTGATAAAAATATAATTCACCATGTTTTTCTTGTAGATATCGCATACGAGTAAGTATACGGTTGGTACGTTCTGTAACAAAATTTCCAAGATTATCTTGATATATTGCTTTTCGAGGGTTGTTTGGTTTGGTTGATTTAATATCATATAGTTCGAAATAATTTTTGTATGTCATGTCTTTAAATTTAGGGTGAGATGGTCGTGCAAAGTATTTTTCTATTTTATCAGTCCAATAAGGGTCATCGTCTAAGGAGTCGATCATATACAGTGGCATAATTGCTTTGGATCGAATGTTAGGGGGATCTGTTGTTAAATATTGGACTTGTATTGATGAGTTTACTATTCGTTCTCCAAGTAGTAAAAACATGAGTTCCATTGAACCCATTCTTCGGGCGTGAATATATTCTCTATAATATGATTGTTCGTGTATGTTGAAGAGGTGAGTGGGTTCTGATTTGCTTATGTATTTTGTTATATATTTAGCAAGTCCTTTACTTGTGATGTATTGAACATTAATGTGGGCATTCCATAACATTAGTGTTGGGGCATGATACGGAATTATCCACTGATCCTCTGGTGTTAAGCATCGGTACGTATACCTGTAATTATTTGGGTCATAGTATGTATATTCTGAGATTGGATGTGGGAATCCTTTTTTGCATGTTAATCCCGGTGGAGCTGGGCCTCCACATTTAAAATTACAAGTATGAGTTTGGAAATTACGAACTTTTTGATAGAGTTCGTATTCGAGATTTGGGTCTGGGAGAGTTGATCGAATAGTGTTTGAATTGATCATTTCTAATATATTTGAAGTTGTCCAGTAAACTCCATGCAGGTGTGCTGCTCCGCGATTTTGAAATTCTATTCTGTCAAAAAAGTGGGAGTAAGTTCCCCATTCACTGATTTCTGGGTTTTTCCAGACGAATTTTTTGATGTTTTGTAATCTGTGGGTAAAATGTAATGTTGTGTGTAAGGGTCGGTTGGTTGGTAGTGGGTCGTGATTGTCTGTGTTGGTAAGTATGTCATGAAGATGGACCCATGAACCTTCAGCCATTGATAGTGTTATAAATAATGTTGGAAGACCTAGTTCATTTATCATTGTGTTTAAGTGCATATTTTTTTTTTGAAAATAACCATCTCCTGTGCGGATAAACGTTGGAATTGGTGATGTTTTTTTTTCGTTATAACGCCAACCATCTGTGTAGGTGCTACGTTCGATAATTTCTATGGCTGTGGGTAGGTGATAAGCTTCGTCAGCTGTGGATTGTCGAATTAGTCGTTGAGTATTTTGGAAGTTTCTAAGTTTTTCTAATTGTAAGTATGCCCATGCTGGCCAATGGTGATGTAGGCGAAATCGAGGATCATTAGAAAGTAACCGATGCTTTATGTACTTTCCAAAAGTATCATGGTGTCTTTTTATATTTTCTAATTGATTTCGCATTTCATAGTAGTGCCCGTGACCATCGGGATATAAATCTGGAAAGAGTAGTAATTCAAGATACGGGTGGTTTAAAGCAATGGGAATTTTGTTTATATCGTTATTTGATATAAATCCTGCTATTAAATGACGATAATTTGCATCTTCATTGTGGATTTCATCGGGAAAGTTCTGGTGAGGGACTACTATATCACCATCTTGAAATTCGGGAGTGTTTTCATCAATTATCGAATGAACAGCTACAGGGAATTGAAGGCTTGTATTTGAGTTTAATGGAAGCATTTGTGAATATTGACGTATATATGGATTGTTTTCTTTAAGCCAATTGACGGCATTAATTATAGAATCATCTAACCAAGGCGGAAGTGTAGATTGAACAGGAGACGAGTTGTCCAAGTAAGCACCTAACAAACCTGAATACATGCTTAGTGAATGGAAATTTTGTGAGTAATTCATAGTGCCTACAAGTGTTCTATATTCGGAGAATGGGTTGGCTCCGGGTGTTCTTCCTAGGGAACATTGTAGAAAAATAAGAGATAGATATTTGCGTTTTCCCAATGGGACAGATTGAATTTCTTTTGGAATTGGAGAAAGATACGGTGGATAATTACGATTTGGGTCTGATTTACATAAAGAGCATATAGCAATACGATTTATAGGTGGAATTGGATTTGTAATTAATGGCATATAGTTTTCGAGTGGATATAATATATCAGGGTCTTTTTGAATCCACATTGATTTTTCTGGGTACATGAGTTTGGAACAGATAGAACAAGGGACGCATGGAAACTGGGTTAAAATAGTGTTTTTAAATTTATCTATTATTTCTTGCATTTTTATAGATATAATCCATGGTGATATTTTTGAACAAGGCGAATTATCAGATAAGTTGTTTTGATTGTTAAGTTGTGAGATGTTATTATCAGTTGAACTTAAGTTAATTGTTTGTTCATTGTATTCTAAAGGCTCAATTTCGAAAATTTTATAGACGTTAAATGACATTTTTTATTGAATATAGCGGAAGGATTTAGTTTGATTTAATTAATAACTTCAAATTAAAATTTTGGGGTATATATATAAGTATCATTTTTTATTTTTCATTTAATATATCATTTTATTAGCATTCGACTAAATGTTCATAATCATTCGATATATTTAGTCGAATGATATATTATGTGAATGGTGCCATTCAATATGTTAAATTTTTGTTATACGATTTTTTTTTTTTCTAAAAAAAAAGAATATAAGTTCATGAAATTATCAACTGTAATAAAATATATCTTGTAAATATATAGGAAAGAGACAGTAATAAATAATCGATAATTGTCGTGGTCGTATAAGGGATAGGTATCGTGACCGGGATTTGAATGAATGGCGTGATCACGATTAATTAAAATGTTTAAAATAGTAGTAATTATTAACGATTAGTAACAATGGTGAATAGTGATTGCATGAACAATGTAATAATCAATAGTGATTAGTAATAATAACGGTGAATAGTGATTGCATGAATAATGTAGTAATTATTAGCGATTGGTAATAAATATAAGGCATTGATCCAAATAGGGAAGTGCCCAATTTTGGTTCTCGCAATAACTTTGAGTTATTCTCAGTGAAAATACTGTTTTATTTTTATTTTTTTTAATAATAAAACAAGTTGCTGTCTATATGAATTTATCATCGGTGGTAGTATCTGGTATGATACTTTAGTCAGCGTAAATTAGCCAAGTGAAAAATGTCAGTAAAGACTTACACGGTAGTTTTGGTAATTCTATAATAATAATTATGTATTTATACGTAGATATTTTATTTAATTGATAATTATCATTATTATTTTTTATTGATAATAAATAGAAAAAAATAAATATATATATACGTGTGTGTAAGTATACGGTATATCCATAAATAACAAAAATATATGTAGTGGTATATATAAATAATTCTTTAATAAAAAAATATATATATGTGACTTTATCGTGATTATATGTTCATTAATTTTATTAAAAAAAAGTAATAATAAATAAAAAAATAAATATGGAAAGAGAGATTAGTATAATGAAATTTTTAAAAAAAAATTAATTTGAAAGAGATTTTTACTTATCTATTTATTTACCGACAGTGTTAGTGTTTTCAGTTGTTTGATTTGATATATTTGAGTTTTTATTCAAAAGATTATTTGCCAAATCAGCTACTTTTGGACGAATTGATCGAGGTTTAGTTTTAGGATATGGATTGGTAGTTAAAATAGGTTTTTTTCGAATATTTCCTTTGACTCTACCGGCAATTGTTTGGGCGACAGTACTCTGCGTTGTTTTATCATTTTGATTTTTTGATTCCCATGGGAGTTCAATTAAACCTCTTGAAACTGGAGTTATTTTTTGAAATTCTGGAAACGAAATGCTTTTTATGTAAACTATATTAGAATCATCAGTTATTATTAGTTCTCCGTTAATATAAAGTACGGTATGTTTTCTGATAACAGCGGTTACATTCATTAAATGTCGAGTAGACACAGGATGATAACATATTATTTCGATGTTGACATAATCTTGATCTATAAAATTTTTGACTAAAACTTTAAAAGTTACATCTTCTTCGCCAATCGTTGGATCTTCTTGAGTTATCGCGGTCATGTTTATTAAAATCGGGAATGCCGGTAGATCATTAGGGTCGATGTTATTAAAACAGACAATGTCATTTAAGATAATCTACAACAATAATGACAATTAATGAGGATTCTTTTAGAAAAAAGTAATTTAATAAATAAATAAATAATTTACCCTTAAAATTGGATATTTATTGCCCTCATTATCTACACCTTCAACGATACGAAAATTTCCTGTAGCAAGTACAACGTCTTCCTCTTTAAATTCAGGTAAAGATAATTCTTGAATCGTATCATCGTGATAAAATCCAATTAAAGTAATGTTTAAAGAAGTATTTAAACTTCGAGATCTGATAACCCCCGAAGCTTCAACAATAGAGAGGTTTTTACTTGCAAAAGATTTACGATGGTTAGTAATATAACATAATACAGTAACGGTTGCTGGCATTTTTTTCTTATTTTTTTATTTAAAATAATTAATTATTTTTTATTTGTTGATAATTATTGTTTTTTTTTATTTAAATAGAAAAAATTTAAGAATCGATGTCATATATATAAATCATTTAAGAGAATCACACTACTTCGAAGTTTGTTAGTATAAAAATCATGGAACGATAACGTGACCATTGTTTCATAATTTCAAGATAAATTACAAGATAATAATATTATGATGGTCTATAAAAAGGTGTGACCCCGTAATTACGTGATAATGATAGTGAGATTTTGATTCCCGATTGATGTTAATTTAAATCTGTACAGTTTGTATTTTATTCAGAATTCTACCCCAAAATAAATAGAATTTTTACTAGAAGAGGCAAGAAATACTAGCGAAAACGGGTTTAATTCAAGAAGCGAGGTAAATTGGGGAAGAGTTAACCGGGAATGAGTAAAAGAGGATAGGGGAAGTAGTCTTATCCTTAATTCTAGCTTACCCTTTACCGCCCCCTAAGTAAGAAGCAATAAAGGTATTGCAGCTCTAAATTTTCTAAAAATCGAAAAATCTACTAGAATCGATCAATTTCTTATGATTTTTATGATATGATTTTGCAGAGGTCACGCCTTCTTGCAAATCGCTATAATGAAACGGGAACATAAAGGTATAAATATTGAATAAAAATAGAAGTCTTTAATATAGTAATATTGATATTCGATCCGAAATTCTAATCAGGTTATTTTTATAATAATCAGCAGTTTTACGATGTGAATAAACATGAATGAAACAGGAATTTTACGAGAATAGAAGTTTCTGGTATAATCGATATTTGACATGGAATTTGAATCAGGTTATTATGTACCAATATCATCGGATTCTTTCGCTACGATTCATCATTATAAACTTCGATGATCAGATTCATTTATCCCGTGAATTTTCCGACGGAAAAAAAAATAAAAAATTGTTAGAACTCACAATTGGTATAATTATTCTAAGTAAAACATGAAAAATATAGTTATGCGAAGCTTTTTTAACAATAGTTTAATATTGTGTTAGTATTCGTCAAAAATTATTATATGAATTATAATTTATGAATAAGAATAAGAATATGAATATGAATCCGAATATGAATCCGAATATGAATAATATGTTTTTATAAAAATGACAGACCAAGAATTTCCTTTCCTAGAATTTCAAGGAAATTTCAGCTGTAGATCCAACACGATTTATTCCAAAGTTGTTACGGTCTAATCCACAAATATCTAAAATTATTTACGTTGCATGATCATATATGGAAAAATAAACCCATCAAAATTGAGAATCTTTAATAATAAATTTTAATTGGTTAAAACTAAAGATTAATATGGTTTTTTGTAAAACCAATTGACTAATTAATAATATCTAACTACTTTAGTATTGTTAGAAAAATTTTACTATCATATGATAATTAATAGCAAATTAACTAATAATTAATTGTAATTTGATATAACATAACACAATCAGGAAAATTCAAAACAAATATTTATTTTGCAAAAAAAAATTAAAAAAATACTTATTTTTTAAAAATTTGTATAAAAAATCATTTTCTGTATATTAACAAAAATTTCTTTTTGAGCAATTTTGTTATTAAAAACTCTAATTTTAGCACAGACTCTAAATCTAATTTAAATAAATTTAAAGATTTTTTAATACACACATGATAGTAAAATTTTTATAGTGATATTTTTTTTTTATTAATATAATATATACTATAGTAGAAACTTTATTACAATAAATTTAAATTAATCTAGAAATTAATAATCTTCTTATTTTAGACTAAATTTGGGTACAGGGTTAAATAAATCACTTGATTAGACTAACAAGTCCCTCCAACTCAGCAATAGCTAAGTTAGAAAAGGTTTGGTTTTAGGAAATATTCTTATAATTAAAGATTTCTAGCTATATTTGTGCTACAAAGCATTCAATATAATATTATATCATCTATTTCTTATTTAAATACTATAATTAGTTTAAAAAAAAATAAATAATTCTAGCTAGAATAAATTGAAGAAAACTTTTTGCCAATAATCATAATATTATATAAAGCATATTAGTAGAGAAAATCCTTGTAGATACTATTTTTCAATAGTATTGTATATATTGATTGAATAAGAGTAAGATATATTTATATTTACTTGGTTATAAGTTAATAGTAAGACTATTCTGGTATATTTAGCTTTTTGTATAATATTTCAAGCTAGTTCCTATTGATATTGTAAAGAGTTTTATTAAGATCATATTTCTTGATAAAACTAGTTTAAAAGATTGTTTAAGAAATTAATAAAAAACAAATCAGTTTGATTATTAAATAAGGTTTTGATATTATAATATATTAGATTAGAATATATTTTAAGAATAGTAGGAAGAAGGAAGTCAAACTGTATAATAGAAGAATTTAGTGAAAATAGTAAAAAAAAGATAAGAAGAGTAGTAAGTAAGATGTGAAATTGAAGTTGATGAAGTGTATTATTAGTTATATTAACAAGCAATTGTTTAAAAACTTTGGCTTTGACCAATGCACTATGGGCATTGGCTAGGCTCAAATCCATAACAATACTGTAACTTATAACTTTTTTGCTCAAATTATCAACTAGCTCTAATCTTACAAAGCTAGACTTTTTGCTATTTTATTTGCTATCTTAACCCTTCTTTATAACTTCTCTGTCAATATTTATACAGACTCTTAATCTGTAATCTCTAAATACAACAAACTTATTTCAAATTATTACTTTTCTTCTAAATTTCTTAAGTTTAATTCTTGGCCTATCTGGCATATACTTTTTAATTTAATCAAAGCTTATAATATTAATTTAATATTTTATAAAGTGCAAGCTTATATTAACAATATCTTCAACAACTTAGCAGACTTTCTTGCCAACAATCACAATACATCTCTTATCTTAACATTTAATTATTTTAATATACATAATTACTACTTTTTTCTTAAATGGAAAAATTGCCCTATCAATAGCCCTGCTAGGTACTTTGTTAAAAAGATTTGCAAAGCCAAAACCATTGTGATGTGATTCTTTCAAAATCACAATCAAGAATAGTCTCACTTCTTTTACTATATCAATTGGAACTCTACTTGGCTTTACTTTAACAACAATTAAAAAAGCTCATCTAACTTTACTAATCTTAAACTTAACCACCTTAAATCCTTTAAAATTAAAATTTTGCTTAGCAACTTACCCACATACTTCTACTATTACTCTATACTTCCCAATCTATTCTCATCCTCTAACTACTTTTATTGCAATCTTCCTGACTCTTCATCTTACTAGTATACCTGTTCTAACCTCAACCAACTAACTCAAATTATTAACTCCTATATTGATGAAACTGTCTCTAAATTCAATCTCAATCTCTCTTTACTTGAACTTAACTATTTAAAACATACTATTTCCTCTCATCCATCCTTCTCTATTCAGCCTTCTTCACTCTATCCATATTCTTTCTATTCTACTCTCAAAAACCTTATCTCTATCCCACTTCTTCAATCTGTACAAACCTTCAATATATCATACTCTCTTGCTTCATAGCTTATTATTCAAACACTTCTTAAAACCTCTAATCAACTCTATGACCAAATATAAAAAACATATTGTATTAACTTTTCTATATGGAAAAGAATACACCAAATCCCTTCTAATCTATCTCTTATACTCGTAATAGAACTAGAAACATCTTTACTTACAATTGTCCTTGCAATACTCCAGATCAACTTTACTCTGATTCAAATACTTGTTCTTCTTCTGGGCTTGCTAACTGTAAATTTGATATTTGGTTTACTATGTGGACCAAATATAACACTTCTATTAACTATATTCTAACTATCCAAATCTAGGTAAGCTTTGACTACTCTAGTAGATTTAGGTTATAGATAATTAGTTTGACGTACTGTCTAAGCTTTTTGTCTAAGCTTTTATTCTTGCATGTAATTTATATTTATTTGTTATTATATAAATTAAGTTCTTTATAAATTTTATATAATTATTTATATAAATTACTTAATAAAGATATAAGCAAGGCCTCATCTTAAAAAAAAAATAATAAATAACAAGTGATTGTTGAATATTTTTTATATTTTAGTGCATAGAAGTATATAAAAAGTATCTTCAATTAAGAAGTATTTATAATACTGATTTAAGTTAATGTCATCACTTTGGTTCTGAGTTGGTCAAGATTTTTTTTAGATTGGGCTTGCATTTTTACAGGTACATTCTCCTTTTCATTTCTAATTCTTTCTCTTTTTGGTCATCCAACAGCCTTGCTCTTTATAGGGTTGTTGATTATTAGAAGCTCTGGAGATGCTGAAGTAGAAACAAGATTATCGTCAACAGAATACAGCGTCTATAAATACTTCTCGAGGTACAACGTAAAATCTGCACATTTATTAAGGTCCATTGCAATCTTGCTTGCAATTTTCTCTAATAATCGCTAGATTCGCATAAACTGGATTCAAGAGTTATTTTCATCAGATGATTCATGTGATACTAAAATTTCTGGAGCTTGTAATTGTAAATAGCTATAAAAATTGACATAATCTTTTGCAAGCTCCAACTTGGGTAGATTTTTTTGCCATCATTTTGGAAAGTAAACAAGATCGAGATAAGCAAAAAATAGATGAACTGCAACTACAAGAGAATGCTAACAAACTATCTCAGCAAACTCAAGATTATAGCAGCAACAAGAAAGTATATGACTATCATAGTAAACTTAACATATAACGTCAGGCCTTTCGTAACATGACAATTTGAAACAACACACATCATCATAATCAGTTATTTCTTCGCATATATATACGTCTTTTACACTCCACTCAGCCTTAAATTTTTTCTAAGCATACCATGTTAGATAGCTAGCAGCTTGATTTTTGATAGGGTTTGGAAAAGTCAGGAGGATAGGATAAACAAGCTCCTTGTAAGCAGAAATATGCTCAGCCTCTTTACAGAGATCAAGTGCATGTTCAAAAGCTGCTAAAAATTCTGTAAGCCTTGTCTTACAATCAATAAACTCTTTTAGCAAACTATTCATCAATTCTTCTCTTTGTATCGATAACATGTCAGTAAAAAAGTAATCCTTTAAATATGTTGAGGTTTACCATTCACACCACCAACTAAGAGCTTCTAAGTATGACTTTGCTTCAGCATAGTTATTATTTTTCATTATACAATTCCACAGCTCCTTAAACTCAACTTGATCAATATAATGATTTAGACATTTCATAAGATCTGCATAAAATATATTATACTTCTTTCCAAGTTTAGAGATCATATTAGACCTTATATTCTTCAACATGTGCCAAATATAAAGACTATACTTGGTACCATGCTTATTGGTAAGAACTGAACTAATAGTATCAGACATTGTAAGATTGTTATCTGTAAGAATAGTATAGAGAGCGGTGCCAAAAATACAAATAAAGGATTTGAAAAGCCACACAAAACTTGAGGATATTTCATTCTGAAGTAACATACCAGCAGTGCAGTAAGAGAGACTATTATTTGTAATGCCTATAAACACTCTAAAAGGCATCAAGAAATAATTGCTTTTATATGTGTTATTGTATACAATTGTATCATGAAAGCATATGTATTTTTGCTTTTGTGATGCATAAACCCAGAGTATATACTTTAATCAATTGTTATTGTCCAATTCGAATTCATAAGAAAATTTGGTGTCATTGTTATGTTTTTGTTGAAGGAAAAGAAGAAAATCATGAGCTTGAAATTCACAATATAATATGATCAGTATCAATTAAATTATATATGTCTTTCATTATTCATGTCTTCATAGCTGGTCTGTATTTTACTATAAGAAGAGATTGGATTTGTGGTATTGAAATTTCTGTTTTTTTCAAAGCAAAAATTTTCTCATTAATAAATATTGGTATTTTGCGATTGCCAGGTAAAATTTTCATAAGTTGGGGTGGAATAAGTTGATGATTATGTTGTAGATTGACTTGAGAGATATAATATTTGTCATCTTCTGGATTATAATTAAGACATACAGACCAGAGGCAGTTGCATTTTTTTGATACTTTATTTCTGCCTTTCTTGTTCAGATCTTTTCTAGATTTATACATACCAAAGTGATTGCAAGCAAAAACTTGAGTAGTATGCAAGCCATCGCTGCAATTATTACCCTTTAAAGAAATCACTTTAAATCTGCTTGCTTTAATATATTAATCAGAAATATATTTAAAGGCCTTAAGAAAGGCACAATCCTGGTCATGCTGAAAAAGCAAATTACTTAATTCTAATAGAAATTCAGGTTCCAACAGGAATTCAGATTCCAATAGAGACTCAGATTCTAATGAGATTTCAGGTTCCAATAGGGCTTCAAGTTCTAATGAGACTTCAGGTTCTGATAAAGCTTCGAATTCAGATAAGATCTTGGAGTTCAATGTGTATTTGGGTTCTGGTTCTTAAAATATCAATAATAGCTATTAGTTTTTATATAAAACATTGCATACAGTATTGGCATTGGACGTATGTTCAATATCAATATTGCCTATACAATATTAAATAATTAAAACTTACTATGAATAAGTCATACTTGAGATACTACTTCTAGTTGTATGTTGGCTATTATTACCACGATTTTCTTTCAAGTTCAAAGGACTTTTGTTTAAAATTTCGTAACTTAATTGAGTCGTGAAAGATTTGGCTTCTTTGTTTGGTTTAAAATTTTTAGACAGTCACTAATAAACTTATAGTTCTTGTTAGCATTAGGTAAAGTTTAAGAGATTAAAATTTTATTTTTTTTTTTTAAATGTTATACATAACAAATTTACACTAGTCAAATATAAGAAATTCGACTACCGAATGAAATGGCCGATTCATCTTGAATTCGATAGCCGAATATTTGGCTAATTTTATAGGATTATTGGAATAATTCGATCTGAATTAGATAGCTAATTTT